TTTTTGGAAGTAATTTGTCTAACTATAAGAATATTTAGAAGGAATTGCATGAAGAAACCTCTTACAAAAAGTCAAAAAACAAAAATGGAAATCTTAGATTAAACATTAATATAATAAATAGAAAAATATTACCTCTTTGTGTTCAACCTGTAAAAATGAGAATATTTATATTTAGAATAATGTTGAACGGACACTCTTTCTAACAGCCTACTCATAATCGTGGGGCTTGCGATTATTTTAATTGTGGGCCCCAATCTCTTGTATGTAAGAGGACTATCTACTGTGTTATCAAAATTGATGTATTTGTAGCATCTCTCTTATATTCCTCCGTTCCAATTATATAGGCCAAGTTTCCTTTTTCTCTTATCCCAAACATATAGATATGTTTCCTAATTTAGAATATTTTGTTTCGTTCCTTTACCAATACACTCTCATTTAATTTTCCTCTCTTAAAATGACAACTTCTTGAAATCATCCAAATACATATATTTTCTATTTTAAAATATCGAACAACTCTCATTTCTTCTTATTCAAATTAAAATCATTCAAATTCTTTACTAATTACAACGATAATTTACTACTACATACTAAAAATTTAATAGGGGTAAATTAGGAAAAGATCTTAAAAAAATTAATTTTCCAATGACATTAAATAATATTTCTTAATCCGTGCGAAAAATGAAACAAGTCTATATAATTGGGACGGAGAGAGTATTTATTACTTTGTCCCAATTACGAAATTAATTGTTTAGAGTATTTTCAAGAGACTCTTAATTTATATAGAACATCTATGTATTATAGATAGGGTCGTAAATGGATCAGATCTGTTCAAATCTATCCATTAAGAATAATTATCCGATCCAATCCAATGATAATTCAACGAATATTTGAATGTTAAATCTATATACACACATTTCCCACTTCTTTAAAACATCGAACAACTCTCATTTCTTCTTATTCAAATTAATTCATTCAAATTCTTTACTAATTCCAACGATAATTTACTACTACATACTAAAAATTTAATAGGGGTAAATTAGGAAAGATCTTAAAAAAATTAATTTTTCAATGACATTAAATAATATTTCTTAATCTGTGTGAAAAACGAAACAAGCCTATATTACCTTATCCCAATTACGAAATTAATTGTTTAGAGCATCTTCAAGAGGCTCTTAATTTATGTAGAGCATCTATATATTTTAGATAGGGCCGTAAATGGATCGGATCTACTCAAATCTATTCATTAAGAATAATTATCCGATCCGATCCGATGATAATTCGATGAATGTTTGAATGTTAAATCCATATTCGATTAGCTATGTTATTGGATATTTGATCTGATAACTCCGATCTGAAATTGAAAATTTTAGAAAAATAAAAATTTTATATATTTTTTCATTAAAAATCATAGCAAATTTTAATTGTTTATTTATTTAAAAAAATATTTGAATTATCTTGATGGGCTCACATATTATATTAAAAGGTCCAAATCAATCTTTATATCCGAATGATGCTCCTTTAACTCTTTAAAGGAGACTCCTATTGAAATATTTTATTGATATTTCAATGTGGGACACAGACTTTTTAAAAGATTCTCCTTTTTCATTGATTTAGTAATATTTCAACGTGGGATACTAATTATAATCATTTGTCAATTCTAAATGTTTATTAGTTTACTTTATTCGCATTAAAATCAGTCTCATTAAGATTTTAATTACAAATAATATCAATTTCAACAGAGTAAATTATTTTGGACATATTAATTGTTAGTTTTTATATTATAAAATAAATTATTATAGTAAATTTAATCAATAAATTAATTATTATTTTTATCTCATTTTAATTAATAAAAAATTTAAATCTCTTCAAAATTTTCAATTAAAAATATTATACTAATATATAATATTATTTATTATTTAAAAATTGCGTGTAAAATATAATACAATTTTCAAAATGGAAAAAATTGTATCATAAATTATGCGATAATATAAAAAATTAAAATAAATCGGATTGGATTGACTTATATTCATATTTGATCCATTTAGTTAATGGATTATCGAATTCGGATCTCGATTGAGTTATCATATTGAGACCTTAAATTCATCTTCCATTAACTTCATTAGATTCGGATCAAAATCCAATTTATTAACAGTCCTAATTATAGAGAGATCATCTTGTGATTCTTGTTCGCTTTAACTCTTAAAGGATTAGATTTTAAAAAATATTTCTATAAACCAGTTTAATTTGAATTATCTACAAAATTTTCCTCGTTTAAAATGAGATTTTTTTTAAAAAAAATTCAGCAGCACAAATTTAGAAGGTTCGCCATTTGAGGCAAGAATCGTAGGCTCTGAGATTCATGATATTCAACATTAAAAGCCAAAAACTTTTGAACGTTGAAGATTGAAAATTAATTAATTTATATCCTTAATTATTGGGAGAAACATATGAAGTGGAGCATTTCACGCTGAGATGTCTCCATGAAATTGCTGCTTTATTTTTTAAATTTGGACTATGATCCCAAGTTTCAAACGCTAGATTAATTAAATCAATTTTCATTTCTAGAAGGGAGTTAATTATTATTATTATTATTTTAATTTTTAACTACTTCTAGCAACCTATAAATATAGGAAATATTGCAGCACTGGTCTCAACCGATTGCTCAAGTAGTAATTTGGTCCATAAGCTCTAAAATAAGCAAGTTGTCCAGCTAATTTTCATCATAATTTTACAACCGTCCTCGACGACAAAAATTGACTTCAAGATCCCATATGTCTAACTCTTTGAAGCTGTTGACGGGGTACGTTACAATGAGAATCGCATAATGATATATAGATATTTGGACTCTTTATATTTGTGGTTGTGCACCAATTTATAAAATTTGGCGACCAACTTGATATTCGAGCTACACGTTGACAATCACTAGTGCAATTCTCTGTAAAATTATGTTAAATATGAAGGATTTCTTTAAACTAATTTAAGTAAATTTTGTAATCGAGTATAATTTGTTTTTCTTGTTCAATAATATTGTCCAATCTATCGAGTGAATCCTTCCATGTATAATTTTCCAGTCTTTAAATCAGATTTTCTTGTAAATCCAATGACCACAAATAGTGATAGCCCCCCAACCCCAACATCCATAAGAATATACTGTTTTCTTGTTTTTTCCTCTAACTCTTTGCTAAACATACGGATTCAAATTGTTTTGGCCAGTGAGGACCGTAGCCCGTGAAGATAAGGTAACCTACTTTAAATATCCTACAAAACTATCGTATTCGTTCACGCGGCATCATTACATAAAATCTTGATTTGACATCAACAACCAGATTTATGCACATCAAAACGGCTCACATTTAGGGTCTGTTTGATTGCGAAGATGAAATTTAGGTGGAAAGAAAATGAATTTCAGGGAATTGAATTACGTAGAAATTGTTTTCATGGAAATTGTAAATTATTGTGTTTGATTGTATAAATTTTTCACGTGGAAAATGTTGAAGTAAAAGTATTTTTTGATGTTCGTTTGACTTTGTTTTACGTGGAAATTGTCAATTTCAGGGATATCCTCTCTTACAATTATTCCTAAAATTTATTCCCATTGCCAACAATTAAAAAAAAAATAAAAAAAGCAAAAAAAAATAAAAATAAAAAAAGGTGGAAAACCAAAAACCACCTATCCCCTAGGAAAAAAAAGGTGGAAAATCACGCTTTAAGGTGTTGTATCTAGAAATTCATGGAAAATCAATTCCCTGGATAATTTTGTCAATCAAACAGGCCAAAAGTGAAAGTTGGAATTCGAATTCCAAGTTCCATGGAAAATTTCGTGCAATCAAACGGAGCCTTAATGTAAAAAACAAGCTCGGGATATCAGAAACTTATAAGTTATCGAGTTGAATCGACCGCCATATCCTAATCCAAATGATAGTCAACCAAACCAACACACCCGTTGTTTTGCCGTTTTGACATAGTTTAAAATTCAAACATCAACAATAACATTGTTTTTCCTAATTTTATCCCAAGAAAGACAGAAAAAGAAAAGGAACTTTTAACCTTGATCAGAAAAGTGTTAGCAGTACTGCAAATGTTTTGTTTTTACCAAATTTATAATAGAGTTTATTTCGGATTCTTGAAAAACATCTCTTACCCATGTCCCAGTTAACATATAGAGACATATGAATGTATATTTTCCCTCAGTTTCTGGTTTATGATAATGCTGCAGATACGTAACAGGACCACCGTATTTAATCCCAGTATTGTTGCTGTCAACTGATACTTACTCTCAAATTTGAATTCCAAGGAAAAAATCACCCCCATTAATGCTGTAAAATAATTGTGTATTTAGTGTCTATCAATGCATTTGTCGTATGGTTCATTTCAAAAAGAAAAGAAATAACTACAAGCATTCAAATTCTAGGTTACAAGAGAGCACGGGAAGTATCGAAGGTGGTTCAATATTGCATCAAACTAGACACACGTATTGTTGTCACTCGCTTACGAAAATTTTGCATGTGCTAGGGCTTTAATGAGAAGGAACCGACTGCACATGCGATGATAAATAAATATTTCGAGGTGATGCGGAGCAATAATCAAGAACAAATTTCATTCGAGAATACCATTGGTTTGCGCAAGAGTATAAAAATCGTGGAAGGTTATTTAGTTGAAGCAAGTTTCAAAATTCTATCAACATTGTCACGGTAAGAGATGAATCAAATGATTTTTTGGACCTCAACTGTTTACCATAAATTCAAGGGTACGAAAAGAGGGACGCCCTACAACCAATATTGAAAATGAAACATAATAAAAAATTAAAGACAACATGGGATTCAGCATGTTAATTTTTGAACAATTGAAATAAGATTTTCTAATAACCAGGCTCGTTGTTTATATACAAACAGTAATTACTACAGTACTTAAATCAGAAAACTGTATCATGCATGGAGGAATAGATTTATCCTAGCAAACAGCACAAGAGAGACAAAAAAAATGTTTCCTCATAAAGCAAAAGAGAGAGAGAGAGAGATCATCAATTTCTGGAAAACAGTAATTTTCATAGTCCAAATAAAAAACTGTCATCTGCAACTAGCCACAATTCATTCCTGCAAATTCTCGACAGTTTTTCTCTCTAAATTTTCAAACAATTAAGCATCTACAGGCAAGACTGTATTTGAACTGGACCCCTGCTGAACAATGACTGATTCAGAAGAAGCGGTGTCAACGTTTCTCTCGTTGATCTGATCTTCAAATTCTAATGAAGATAAACAAGGACTAGTTGAGGAATTTGTAGAAGAAGAAATTGAAAAAGGAGAAGTGGAAGAATATTGAGTTGCAACCGAAGAAGATGAAGAACAGTGTTCATGATCCGTTGAAGAAGAGGAATTTGAAGCCACAAATTCAAGGTGAACCAACAAATCAACAAAAGCTCCAACAATATAACCATGATTTTTCTTGGAATTAAGTCTCAAATAGCAAGTTAAAAGTTCTTCAAGACATTCCCAATTCTTCAATCCATAAGCCTCCACCATTTCCTCCATTGATAATCTGAAATCCACACATGGATCCCTGGATTCCAGAGCCATTACTGTACTCTCTTTATAAAGAGAAGACTCATCAGTTTTCGCTTCTTCCAGGATTGAACTTGTCTCTCCAGGCTCAAAAAACAACCTATCTGATCTTAAATCTCGAATCACCATCTCGATACTGTACTCATCATTTCTTGATGCACACGAAAAACTTTCATCAAAAGAGTTGCTAATGCTAAAAACTGAATCTGGGTTGTCAAGAATTTCTTCAATGATGGTTTTGTCAAGGTAGACAGAATTCGTAGTCTTGAATGTCTTATTGTTGTTAGCTCGAAAAGAAAGGGTCTTTGGGTTGTTGACACAAATTGGCCATGGCCAAGTATAACTGGTGGCGGCGGCGTCATCGGCAGCGGCAGCGGTTTCGGTGGCTTTGATAAGAAAAGGAAATTTAAGCTTTTTGCCCATTAGGTAGGTGGGGGTTGAAGAGAAGAAATATGATTTGAAATTTGTGTGTATATTTTATTGTTTGAGCATTAAAAGCTTCGATAGAGTAATTCAGTGGAAGATTTGAAAGGAGTGAGATAATTTGGACGAAGAGAAGGTTGGTGGGATCTATACTATTTCAAAATAAGGATAGAAATGTTCCTTTAGAAACAAATGAGAGTTTGTTTGGGTATTTTTTTTTTTTTTTTAAAGCAAAATAAGCAACTTAAATTTTTTTTCGACTAATCACTTTTAAGCACAATCGAGAGTCGAAACCATTATTTGTCTACGCAACAGAAAACTAAAAGTTGGATATAATCTCACCAGGTGTATGTGGCGACACAACGTCAAATTTTAACAAGATTTATTCCACGACTGTTGGTGACATAGCGTCAAGTTTTAACAAAATTTATGGCATGACTACTAACGGCTTGGCGCAAAATATTGAAAAGATTTATTACACGACTATTGTTTTAAGAGCATTTTTAAATTTAGAGTAATTGTTTTCGTATATCCTAACAATCATCTCTACTTTGACTTTTCATTTTATATTTTAATAAATATTCATTATTTTCTCTTCATATTCTTTTTAACATCTTTTTTAAATGTGAATGACCAATTAATTCAAATATGAATGACCAATTAATTCAAATATGATCTAAATAATTTGGAGAGTCAAACTAATTTTCTATTTTAAAAAGTTAAATATAGAATCTTTTGAAACTTATTTTATGCATTTACTCTCTAAAATAAATAGTATCTTGTATTTAGAGAGTTTTTTGATAATGCTCTAACATTATGCTCTTCTTTAAAGACTCAAGACGGCGGTCTAATGTGATATTAGAATATCCTCTTACATCAACAATTGCGATCGTTCATTTATGAAAAAATTACTTCTTGAATCTTAGGTCATTGATAAAATTTGATCTCGATAACAGTAGTCATTGGGAATAATTCCATATTTGGTAAATCTTAATTTTTTTTTTATTATGTTGATTAAACATACCTTTTACCTATACGTTTCATATTATCTATAACTTACTATTCACTTATTATCCTTACATTTCTATACGATTTATTACTTATGAACATTTGAAATTACTACCAAACATGAGAAATAATAAATTCGTTCACGAGAGTTGCTGGAGTGACAGATCTTTTTGACAGGTTTTGGGGACAGGTCAATGTGGCGCCCCCCATTGGAGTCCCCAAAATCCTGTAAAAAAAGAAAAAATCAATAAAAATAAATGAATGGATAAATAAATCTGTTTGAGTAGTTTAATTCATCTTTTAAATAGTTTAAACGTTTACGGTGGTTTGCACATGTAAGTGGAGTTGCGTGTATAAGACAAAACTTTCTAATTTTTCCTGTGAAAATTTCAAGAGAAAGAATCAGCCCTTATTCCATACTTCACTCGACCCAATAAATACAAAAAATATCGTTCAAAATAGTTTGTCATTTTTCGGTAAGATGGTCGAACTCGATAATGAGCATGTTCGAGCACCATTTTTTTTTTGTATTTTGGAATAGTGATTTGATGGAAAGTGTATGGTTAAAAAATAAGGAAAAAGGTTTAGATTCACTTGTAATATTAATTTATTGAATAATGTGTGATTGAAAATAATAGAGAGAAAAATGTATTTTGAAATAATGGATACCAAACAATTGAAATTCCGATAACGTGTTTGAGCTTTTAAACCGATCGAACAATAATAAATGAGCGATTATACAGTTGCTGTAATTATTCATCGTTGATCACTGTTTGTGTGTGTGTGTTTTATTTTTTATTTTTTTGTTAAAGCGTGATTTTTAAGTAATGGAATTAATATTGATTAAGTGGCCGTTGAGATCTTAAATTTCAGACGTACATCCACAGGTATTAGAATTAAATGATAGCAATCAAATTTGGCAGATTTTGGGGAGCTTTTGGATGATTCATTTATTGTTGTGTACTCTTCTCCACGACTGCTCGATTTTCAAACTTTTTTTTATTATTTATATCAATATATCAACAATGTGCATAATTGTCGAAGTTTATAAGCCTTTGTTTTCATTCTCATTCTTCTTAAAATTCATTTTCAATCATACATTCTTTAATAAAATAATATTACACGGAAATTCAAAATTTTTATTTAATTCTTTACCACACATTATCTATCGATTTACTATTCAAAATACATTACTTCCTTCAAAATGGGAATCAAACAAGGACTAAGTAGTGAGTTCTAGATAATGTGTTGTCAAAAAATAGGTAAAAATTGTAAATGGAGATAAAAATGGAATTTGACCAATTTGTAAGCAATTATAAAATGTGATAACGTGCGCTGAATATATGAAATTGATAGGTATAACTTTTAGACCTATTTAGGCCAAC